TTGAACTTTGTTACTTACGTGATTTATTTTTTGTTTTATTAGCTGGTAAATTTGGTGTATAGTAGTGTTTTTGTTGATCGCTACCTGATTCATTTGAGTAACAGGCTTCTAGAAATCCCCTAACTGCATTGTTGGTGTTACCTCTATTTAAGATTTCTGCATTATCCCAATCAAACTGGTGTCCGCTATTATCTACATGAATCGATTTGAAACGCGAATATATATCCAGCGCTTTGTTTTCACTTTTACTTTCCTTTTACCTTCATCCTGACAGTTTTAGCGACAATAATGTTTCGTAATTTCAAGCCTTCATTCTAGCATACTTTCAACGCTGTCAAATTTTCTATTTATATTATTCTGATTTATTATTCGATGTAGTAGGGATTTTAATTGCCTTCTCGATATTATATAACTCCACTTCTTTCACCTTCACATACTGATCATTTCATGAATGAGCTATTCATCACATCAGGCTGACTATCATCTCCTTTTCAATGGGTGTTATTTTCTACCAGCCAGCCAGTCACTCACCAAACACCTTTCTCAACCTTCTTCAGCTGACTTCTCAGTTTTCATTCTCCACATAGTATAAATCTTTTGCGACTAGGCATGATCATTGTCTTGCATTTACAATCATTTTGTAACTGCGTTTAGCACAGGAAGTTAAAATAGAAAAATTAATTTTTACAGGATCGATAATGACAGTTTTTTTTTAATTTTTGGTAACAGTAAAGTTAAAAATGTACAAAAGGCGTAAAATCATGATGATAATAGTAATGATAATAATAATAATGTTAATAGCTAAAATTGTAAGTTGATTTAAATAGTGCCACCGTATACATAACAAGTAGGAAAGAGAAAGAATAAAAGAGCCGATTATTTTGCTATTAATAACATAGTAAGCTCGTAGGTAGGTTTCTCGCTTAGCTTAACATTGTCTCCATCACCATAGGACGTGGGCGGATCAAATATGGTATCATTGAGTTTCTGTATTTACTTGTAAGTGGATATAATCTTTTACAATGACTAGTCCTACCTGATGAGATGCAACTAGAAAAAGGCAAGTTGAAAATAGAGAGGGTGTTTGACGATGCTCAGACAATATATGGATTTGGACCATTTCTCATATGAGTTCAGATGTCTATCAACTACCGTAGTGAATGACAAGCTAACTAAGTGGTGGTGGTGGTGGTGGTGGTGGTACATCACTTGCTCTACTGACAACTTTTAATACCCTGTGCAATATGACATAGTCCTTTTTGAGTAGCCAAGGGAAGACTAAGGGAGAGCAGTAGAGAACAACAGGTAAGATGCAAGAGTAGTTAAGAGACAGGAGGGGGGTTATAGTTTACTATCCCTCGAATAAAAAATCGACGGATTCGCTAATTTAAAAACATGTGTACGCAACAAAAAACGGAACACTTATTGCTTGTTCTCATTGGCATATGCGATGATATGAAGAGATTGTTTTCAATTTTGCAGACGAAATTACAGTCTGAACTTTTGAGATTTTCAATTTACGAGTTAATTTAATTAATTAATCACAATCTGTGAACTGCTTGATACTATAAATGGCAATCAAGAAAGTGAGCACAAATGCATTATGTTAAATACTACTGACATGAGTATTAGTTGAACACTACTCACATCAACTAGTGGTGATGCTTGCCAGCCAACCAGGTCAAAGTGATCTAAACATTGGACGGTCGTTTCACTCGTTTGACTCTTATTCCATTAAGCTAGTTTTAGCATCATTCAAATATATCTTTTGGTGCATTCCGTATGCGAATTACCCCATATACTGATTTGTGGTGATAAATTTCGAGGTTCCGTGATCTGAATGGTATATATATATATATATATATATCGTTCTTACAACGTATTATATTATTGTTTCCTTTAGTTCCTAGAGGAACATATGGCTTCAGCCGCACGTCTCCATTGAGTTCGGTTCCCTGACAACGTTTTCACCTGGCTCCAAGTCTACCCACACATTTTCATCTCTTCACATGACCTCCTCCAAGTCACCCTTGGACGACCAACTCGTGGCTTCCCTTTCGGGTATTACTCAAGGCCTTGTCTAGTGATGTCACTTGATGGTTTCCTAAGAGAATGGTCAATCCATCTCCATTTCTTTCTGCATATTTGTTTCACATTCGGTTCCTGGTTGGTTTGCTCCCAGAGATCTCTGTTGCTGATCTTTTCTGACCATCTGATCTTGAGTATTGAGCGAAGACGGCTGTTATTGAAGGTCTGTAGTTTGTTTGAGGTGCTCTTTATGACGCGTCAAGTCTCTGATCCGTATAGTAGCACTGACTTCACATTGGAGTTGAAAATCCGGATCTTGTTTTTCATGCTGAGTGCTGCTGGTCTCCACACAGACTTGAGAGAAGTGAAAGCTTGAAATGATAGAGAAGATTTGTAGCTCAGGTGGATGATTTTGATGTGGTTGTGTTCTCTGAGCTGGATAGTTGATTTGCGAAGCTTTCATCACCCTACTAGGTGACATCTTCAGCGCATACTTCAATTTGAAGTATGCGCTGAAGATGTCACCTAGTAGGGTGATGAAAGCTTCGCAAATCAACTATCCAGCTCAGAGAACACAACCACATCAAAAAGTGAAAGCTTGCCTTGCTTTCCCGATCCTCTCTTTATTACCCTCATCAGTTCCGCCTGTAGTTGAAACGTTACCCAGGTGCGTAAAGGAGGCTATTTATTTCACATTTTCTGTTGTTGTTGTTGTTGGCCAGGAATCTTCATCACCCCTGTTTTCTCAATGTTCACCTGAAGGCCTATCTTTAATGCTTCTTCTGCCAACTTGTTGCTTTTCGCTTGCATATCTTCCAGTTTGTGGGAAATCAGACATATATCATCGGCGAAGTCCAGATTCCCGAAGCTTTTTGTGTGAGTCCATTTTATGCCTGTTTCCTCATTGCCCGCTGTCTTTCGCATTACCCAGTCTACCGTAATCAGGAAAATCATTGGAGATAGTAGACAGCCTTGTCTTACTCCTGTCCTCACTTCGAAGGATTCCGTATGTTTCCAGTTGCGGATTACTTGGCATGCAGCATTGTCGTACAGATGTTGGATGAGATGTACAATTGTCGGTGGCACCCCGTAGTAGCGAAGTAGTTTCCAAATCACCTCTCGATCGACGCTGTCGAAGGCCTTTTCAAAGTCGATGAAGTTGAGATAGAGAGGTGACTTCCATTCCAAGCTTTGTTCAATGATGATCCGTAATGTGGCGATCTGATCAATGCATGACTTGTTTCTCCTGAATCCAGCCTGTTCCAGTCGAAGTTTTTCGTCCAGGGCTTGTTTGATTCTCTCCAGGATGATGCGGCTTAGTATTTTGCTTGGGATAGACAGGAGCATAATGCCACCCCATTTCTTGCATTGACCTAAGGACCCTTTCTTTGGCAGTTTGAATAGGTAGCCTTTCTTCTAATCCTCAGATACCTTGCCCTCTTTCCACACCTTCTCCAGTAGTGGTGTCATCAATTCCGCTGATGTCTCTGGGGCGATTTTCAATGCCTCTACTGGGATTCCGTTTGGTCCTGCTGCTTTTCCATTTTTTAACATCTTGATTGCCTTCAGGATTTCTGTTCTCGTCGGAGGGTTAATGTCCACTGGTAGTTCTGCTTCCGCTGTTGGTAGTATTGTATCCGGTTTATTACTTCACTGGATATCGACTATATCTACCACATGATAAATAATAAATCATAATCCATAAAAAATCTCATTTATCTCTTTGTAAAATGAGGATTATCCCCTGACTGAATAGACATAAGAAAGTAGAAACTGACTGACTAGCTGGTTTCAACACAGAACTTTACACAGATGTACACCAGTTCCACTTGCCACTCCCCATGCTGCATGTAGCCCACAAAGTAAGAGTAGAGAGTGAAGAGACACTCAAAAGAGGCAGAAGAAAATAGAAATATGGTGGAAGAACAATCGAGTTTTATCGGATATGACAAATAACAAAGAGAGTGAATGCATCTTCACCATCATTGACAACGACAGTTTTGAGCCACATCACAATCCATGTCTCCAGTCTTCATTGGTTCTTATCATCATCTCGAGGACTCCAATCGGTTAATCAACCAGCCAGTCTACACCTCCCTACGTGGCTGGCTGTTTCAAACTAACAGTTATGGCTTTCATTGACTGATGAAGCTAGCTGCGTTTTCAGTTGACCACCACGATGTGTTAGCTAGCTCTTTTCTAACCTGACTCTACTTATGTCAGCTTTGCCGAGCCGCTCTACCTATCAATATCATGCTGTACTGTAGGTGTACAATTTAATCTCGGTTTCACAATTTATTATTATTATCATTTCCAAGAACTGGTTTGTACGGATTTGTATTAATTTTCAAGTTTGATCAGTTAGAGAACCACTGAAAATCTTGCGGTTCTGGACAGCTGTTTCGTCCTAGTTTAAGGTTGATTGGCAGTATGCACCCATCAGGTTTTGAACTCAGAAAGTTCCAGTTACAAGGCAAGCTCGTAAAACATTCGACCACTGGGACCGGACTCAATAGCCCAAGAATTCTAACTTCTACCAATTCGTGATTTCAGCACGACTACCAGCCAATGTCATCGGCGGGTATTTGTTCTCACTCCCGACAGGAATGGACCCCACTGGTCTAATCGCTATGTGACAATAATTCTTTTTCCCTCTACTCCTACTAGTATACACATTCTACCTATACGCTCACCATTTATCCCTGTTGTTATTATCGTGATGATCACGTAGATTGTTAACCATTTATTCACCTCCCTGAACTCTGACCCCACGTATTTTATTAACGACATTCATTCAAATACCTTTGAATAATATTTCCTTATGTAAATGTAAAGCCTGATAAGAATTTACGGAAAATACCTATTTGCTTACTTAAATCGTGTTGTATCATTATCACCATTATTGGAATACTTGCATTGTCCCTAGCATGTATCATCTTTTGATGTACCTTCTCTATACTTATTTATTTTAGGTGACTACATTAACGAAGTTGTTCACACCAGAAGAATTACAGGATACAAGTAGCAGTGAGAGACGCTCACGAATTGAAGCAGACATAAGACTGTTCAATCGTTGGCATTCTGGAGAGCCTATATCTGTAAGTTTGTTTCTGTTTTTTTTTTTGTTTTTTTTCATTTGTATTTTCTGTGGTATTCTGTAAATTAGGGGGTTAAAACAGGTATTCCAGGTTATTTGAAATAATGAAGGAAGGTTTGTAGCCCAGGTAGATGATTTTTGATTTAGTTGTGTTCTCTTAGAAGGGGCTGATTGTAGACTTAATCGCAAAGCGCTTTCATTGTCTCCCATCTACACAACATCCCTCCCTTTAGTACAGGTTTCAGCATGCAATGACCTTATTTGAATTCTCTCTCCATGAATGATGATATGATTGTATCCATCTCCTGGCAAGGATTGTCGTGGTGAGTGGTTGTTAATGTACGAGAGGAGAAGAAGAAGAAGAAGAAGAATTAGACAACAAAGTCTCGTTCTTCCAGGTCTTAATCAAGAGAACTAACACAGGAAATTTAGAAACACAAGTATGTGGAAAACCAACACACAAACACACAGATCAAATAGTCAACTATGATAGCAATAACCCAGTGAGTGCCTCATGGAAGAAACTGTATGGGGACATTGTTTAAAAGAGTCCATTTTTAATATTAGAACAAGACATATAAGCGAACGATATTGTTTTCAATTAGATCTTCAGGCTTTGCTATAGTTTACATAGATTTATATATAGAAATGTTTAACGAATGACGGTAATATTGTGGATCAAATAATAATAATGTGGTAAATGTTTTGGACTTAGTTAATAACGATGAGTATAATGATAACAAAATATTGATTATATATATACATATATATATAAGGCGAACAACTAGACAGCTTAAGAAACGCATTAATGAGCATATTCCTTCATGGTTCGGAAAAGGTCAAATAAAGTCTATAAGAAGCTTTATATCGGCTGATTTGATTGATAGTGGTCACCAAGTGGACAAAAGTGGTGCCTTTAAAGTTATCTATCGCATTCCATCGAGCCTTTCCAACGGAATTCGAACCCGTCTTTTACACATATCTGAAGTTATGGGAATTGGAGAGAACAATCCTAGTCTTTACATACAAAAGAAGTTTGTTCTACCTCTGTCTCTCCATTGGCCTAGGTGAATTCTATTCAAAACCCTCCCACCCTTTCTTATTTTCCATCTCCTTCGTACTTTTATTATATTTATTTAAACTCTGATTATCTGTCCACCTCACCTTTAGTATTACGTAACTTTTAGGATTTTACCGAATGTCTTTATTGAATTGTCTACACATATTACTACCTTTGTTATTCTTATCGCCACCTGCATAAACCTTATTATCAACATTTTGTTATAATTATAATCATCGTTATTAACTAGGTTCAAAACATTTACCACATTATTATTATTATTATTTGATCCACAAAATCACCGTCATTGGTTAAAAAATTTTTTATATAAATTTATCTACATGAGTAAAGCCTGAAGAAGATCCAATTGAAAACAATATTGTTTGCTTGTATGTCTTGTTCTAAAAGAGTCCAAACAGACTATAGCCTTCCGGTGCTGAAGAAAATGTAGGAAAAATACCTACCACAAACTGTTTAAAAAAAGAATGAATATTTCTCCCTCAGAAACACACACAATCTTATCAAGAAGTGTTTAAACTCACACCGTGACACCAACAATAGTTGGAATTCCAAGTCAATAAAAAATGGCCAACAGAGACTTAAATTAACAACGAATCACGACAAAAGTTGTCTTTCAGGAGATACAGTTATATCATTCATGACGAATTCAAATAAGTCCATTTCATACTGAAACCTGTGTTGAAGGTGGATGTTGTGTAGATGGGAGGCAATGAAAGCGCTTCGCAATTAAGTCTAAGGGCAGCCCCTCCTCAGAGAACTGAACTAAATCAAAATATTGCAAATTATCTGGAAAGATCCCGTTTTTCACTCTAATTCTAATGACTATTTTCTCACAACTTCTTTACCAGTTATCACTTTTAAGTAAAGTGAGAATATATCAGTGATTACAATTGCTTAAAATCCATGTACATAGACATCAATGATTTATGTGCAATGCCTGAGAAACTGAAGTTAACAAAATTTTGTTTACTGTCATCTTACATGTTTGGTTTAAGTCTTGGTTTCAAAATGCAAGGCAGGAAATGTTGTTCAATTTTCCTGCCATCATCGAACAGTTCATTGAGGAGGGGGAGCGTCCACTGACAACGACTCGGAAAGTGTATGGAATGCATCGATGGTTCAGTGGTAGAAGGCTCTGAAGTCAAGCCACACGTGGTCCCTGTCCACTGACGCACTCTTTAAACCCGCTAAATCGATAGTAAGATCGATGAAGAAGAAAGTTTTAGCGGGATGCTAGCAACCTCACGCCGTAAAAATCAACAACACTGTGCTACTGAAGCTTCGAAGCTCTAGCTTGAATCCCTATTTTCCACTTGGAACTTAAAGGAATAAAATAGTAATAATAATAGTAACAAAATTGGACTGTTATAGGGCCTCACGAAATCAAAGTATAATGCATGAAGTATTAGAGAAGATTTGTAACTCAGGTGAGTATTTTTCGCGCAAATGGTTTAAATCAAAGGAAATGGAAACTAAAGAAAGAGTGGGAGATTTATTTCAATTATTATTTACCTAGTCCAAAGGAGAGTGACAAAGGTACAATAAACGTCTTTTGCTTGCAAAGACACTAAAATTCGTTGGTTGGAAGCAATCCTCAGAAAGCCTTAGATCTGGAATTCAGTCTGCACCAAACATAAAGGACCAGACATGCTTTGTTTTCATTAATGCCTGAATGGTGAGATTATTCATGAATAGCATTTTTAACTGACTAGTATTGGTACTGTGTCATTCCTATTGCAAGTTTTTGCTGTGGCTACAGCGAACATAAGCTCAGTAATCAACTTCATCCTCTGCAGAACCATCTTATTTTTGTAGCAATCTAGTTATACCTTCAAAATATTTTGTGTGTTAGTGAATACATTGCGATTGCTGTATCATTGAGTTCCCAGAAATAACATTATAATATGACAGAGTTATACCATTATACCAATTTGCCAAAGTAACAGCTGGGAAGAAAGGCCAACTGTGAGAGGTTGAACCACAGCATGATACTCAGCATTCACTTTTACCAACCGGTGGGATACGTATTTGCTGTTCTCCTGTTGACCCAGTCAGACAAAATGATAATATAAATGTACAAAATACCTCGCTGCATTGACTGTGAGTTAAGTCAACTAACTACATAGGTCAGTCAGATAAGTAGATCGTGAGTGGTAATCAGATTGTCAGAACATAAGAATTAAGTAGCTAAGTGCAGAATGACTCACCCCGTGAATATAAGTAATTTAGAAAGAGGAAAACTCAACAACTGCACTTCGCGCATTAACACACAACTAACCACACAACAGGGTGGGACAGAGTTGAAATTCTAAAAAGAAATATGCATAGATGGTGAGAAGGGGAGACGGAGAGAGGTTGATCACTGTCTGAATCTTTGTTCAACGAATAATCTACACCTAACATAAGACGTGTGATAGGAATGAGTCATCACTAACACCAGGGATATGGGGAATATTACTACTACAACTACTACTAGCAATCATAAAATCGCTAGGTGAATGGAATTATATATAAACGAAGTGATAAAGTTGTGTGAGTAGTAGGGCTTTGATATGATTGTGAGCATTAGTAGTAAATTGTTGTTCTCGAAACGTAGTCATCAATAAATACCACTACTGTATAACAGTGTGAGTTTGTCAAATAAATTTACTCTATGTGAAGGAATTATGCTCCACCACATTGCCAAAATCCCATTGGGATTCGGGTTATACAAGGCCAGCGGGCTCGTAGACTATTAAGCTATTGGCACCCGCCAATCTTACGGCCAGCCTATGAATTCTAACTTTTACTAATTAGTAGTGACGTCTTCTTATTCTTCTTTAGAAATATGCATGTTACTTGTATTGATTTTATTTATATTTCTGTATTTTACTGTTTATTGTAGATTATTGATCAGATCCGAGATTTGCCTGCATTTCTATACGGTTTTATGCAATTATTATTCAGCGGGGAAGGTACATTCGCCTTAATGCAAATCCGTTTAACGCTAATGGGTTTATGTGTTCTGTTTTATCTGATTACACCATTTGATTTTATCCCAGATGTTTTTGCCGGTTTTTTGGGCATCTTAGATGATATGATTGTATTGTGTATTTTTGCTCTACATGTTATTTCTGTTTATCGGAGTATCTCTTCAAGACGAGAAGTGAACGCTAGGTAGGCGAAACAAAGCGCGCTTATCACGGTGCAGTTGTTGTTGTTGTTGTTGCTGTTTTTGTTTTGTTTTTTTATAATAAATTCCATCTTTGTATATATCAGTGTGTATTCCATTGCCGATTAATTTTCGATGCCTTGACGATTCAGTTGTTGTCACCCTTCTCTGTCTGTCTGTCTCCCTCTCTCTCTCTCTCTGTATCCATGACTACTTCACTGTTTAAATGCTTATGTCAAACTTACTGCTCCATTTCAAATAGTTGACTTTTTGTTGGTATAATAAAGTTTGATACATATATAGATGATATCCTACTCTTTCGTTTTGTGTTGTAGTCATTGTGTGATAAGTCTGTCAATATCAAATGTACGGGGATGCGGCTACAGAACTACTGGACTGGACTACATCGACTGGTTGAGCGTGTTGATGACCACTTCACGCAGATTTAGGAAGTTGTATCAGCCGGAAAACGCTCCGGTGGGGTTGATCGCTAACAAAATCTTAGCACACGGATACACAGAAAGCTCGTTTAACATTTGCCAACCGATTTATTCTATCATTGATATAATAATAATAATAATAATAATAATAATATTCTATCTCTGGCTTAGTAGACATGATATCCGGCTGTCTGGCTGGCTCGCTGTCGACCAAAGAATGTATGTACTGCACAGTACAGTAACAGCAGTTTACTCAGTGCACCTTTATGACTGGCTGTGGGACATGGCCACTGAAAGTGGAATAATAATAATTTGCTTTATTCCAAAACAGCATTTATGATATAATGTAGAATTCTCAGAATTTCGTATAGTCTCGCACCTAATTCACTCGATGACAACAACAACAGAATGAATACACTACAGGGTACAGGTACACTTAACCAAAATTGATAACAACAGCAGCTTTTGACATTAGCAGAAACAGCAGGCTGAAAATGATGTACAAACATCAGATGATAAGAATAATATTAATAATAAAAATACAAGATAATGCGGATAGTGAGTGTCAGGATAAAATTACAAATATAGGGGAATATTTGAGTCATGCTAGTCACAGAGCAAGTCGTAAGTTTTACGTTTGATACTATATCTATCACATAGAACGTGAGAGGGCGGCCGGGCCAAACAGGGTATGATTGAGCGACCACATAGTCTTTTATGATGACTTCTTGTCATACCAGATAAGATGCAAGAGGTGGAGGCGGTGTTGTGAATAGGCAGGGTGATCAGACAATATCGATTTAAAACTTTTCTTATATTAGTTTAGGTGTCTATCAAAAACTTCAGAAAAAAAGCTGACTAAATGGCGGCACACAATTTACCCTACTGACAACCTTGAATACCCTTCGCAATCTGACATAGTCCTTTTTGAGTAGCCCAGGAAAGGCTGGGGTGGGGTTGAGTGGAGCGATAAAAAGTAATAGGTAATATGCCAGAGTTAACAAATTGTAAAAGTAGAGGTTGAGTAATTCCAGATTGCCTTAACTTCTTAATGTATAAGGTGGTTGGACGGGGCATTTTCTTAGAAATTAACAAAATATGAGTTGACCAAGAAAGATGAGAGTATAGAATTATACGAAGGTATTTTATGCTTGACTTATTCTCTGTATCAGTGCACTCTACAAGCTACGAGCATCGTGTGAAGTAATGAGTTCGTTAAGATCACGTTTATTCGTGAAGGTTGCACTAACTGTCTGATATTTGGAGGGATTCTATGTAAGATCATTTAGTTTAGACCACTAGCTTATATGCTACAAGAAGCTATTCCGTTAGGAATAGCCAGATCGGGACTTAACTGGCAACGAGACAGTCAGATCATCAGAGTACTTAACAGAATGAATTTCTACCGGGAAAGGCAAGTCATGAAAGAGGAGAGACAAAAGAAGCGAGGGTGGAACAGCAGCTTCAGTAAGCAAGGTGGAGTAACATTTGCCTTTACTGCATACAGTATACTGCATTCTGTTAGAGAAATAAGAATGCAACCAGTTAACAGCCTAGGACTCGGTTTATGTCAAGGAGAGCTAATTTAATAGAAGACGTCTGGCTACAGAGTCAAATGCGGAAGTGTAGTCCAGGAAGGCAAATCAGATATATTTGGCTCTTTTGTCTAAAGAGGAAACAATATTATGATGTGAGACAACCGTAGCACCTAAAGTACTTCTGTCCTGTTTGTACGCAAACTGTTTGGAGTTATCAAAGCTTTTCAGTCAAGGGTCAGAGTTGAGTAAACGTGTTTTTCCATTCATTTCAACAATAATACTAGATAAATAAGCTTTGAAAATGTTTGTAGGATATTAACACAAGATATCCGCACATCTGAGAACAACAGCAGGTGCGCTGTTGGATTTGAGACATTTGAGAACATCAAGGGTATTAAAACTATGACACGTATTATATTTATGAACCAGGAGAGCTTATGAAATAAGACTTGATAACAGTATTTACATCAAAAGAGGGGACAACAGCACTTTGCTTACCACATAACTTGATATCATCTGATGTACGCAAATGTACCGAGTCGGAGAATTTTTTTCAGACTTGGGATGTATCGGTAGATCCCTGGGTAGTTTTCCGCTCAAAAGTCGGCTATTTTTGGTCCTACCATGGGTGAATACGTACTGTGTAGACAATAAAGTAACATTAACCTACCGTAACTGTATCTAAGTGAGCATACCATAGCAGCTCGTCTGCTTTGTATTACGAAATTACGAACTAAGCACAATCAGGATGAATTTGTTATAAGCTCGAAATCTGAACTCTTCAGTTCACACTCGGCCAGCTAAACTTCGCGTACCCAACGTCGATAAAACGAAGACAATGCTGCGTATGCAACGTTATATTTATGTAATATGAATCTGACTCAAATATATACGGAATCATTGCTACTTCACACCTTAATATGACATACAAAAAGTAAAATAAGTGACTTTAACCTCAGTAGTGGAGAGGTTTATACGTCCGTTCCAGAAACCAGGCTTTCCAATCATATTAAAAGTCCTGAACGAAGCAATATCTTCTGATACACTAATTATTCAGTCAGTCAGGTTCTAATATTGTAACTTGGAGTCTTCTTCAATCATTCCAGAGAACAGAGTACACGTATCGACAGCTTGACAGCGACTGACTCTGAGATCGTGTATCTGTGCTAATAAGATGTATGTTTAATGTAGTGTCCGCTGGTTCTCGTGCTTAATTGGCTTCTTGTCCAGTTCCCGTTGCATCTAGAAAGGAAAACAAAGACACTGGGTACTTTGTAGGAAAATTTCTAAATAATATGCTTGAAATGGGACATACATGCACAATGCGAAAAAAGAGGAACAACCGGAAAAACAATAATTTCGTCAAGCACTAGATACAGTACATGCAAAGTCACTTACGAAATGTTATACGGAGGAAAATTAATCTCTCAGTAAGGAGAAGAATGTTCCATAAGCATAACAGTTTACAAAGAATTGAGGCATGTTCGTCTTATCTTTAAGATAAATATGAAGGTGCACTAGGGACCTCACGGCTCCTATCTTGTTGAAGGCGTCTGATGCCTGTGCGGTACAGGCTACCTTTTCGAGCATCATACGTGTATATTGATAGCGTCTCATGCGACACGATTCAGTCGGAGGTCATGGGATTTCCCTCTTAGTGAGCTGGTTTTAAGGGCCGATATTAATGTCATCTCTACCCCAGTTCTTGACAGAACCGCGACGTTTATCCGTGTGTGTAATGACTTTATAAACTCCATAGTTCGGAGGTTCTGACAGTCAGTGCTCAGACAGGTGACGAATAAAGAAAACTGTCTGTAGAATGGGACTGGTGTACAGCATATCAAGTGTGGACCTGCTGATATATGATCAGTGATCTAAAGCTGATTGAGAACTGGAGGGTGGGACAAATTCGCCTGGTGGTCGTAATGTTGTGCCATACACCGGCTCAGCATGTGTACACCCTGTAGCGACCTTCCAAGTGTTCATGGTGCCGAGGAGGACTAACTCTAATGACTCAGTCTAATATGCAGTGTTACAGGGTAATACTGGATCATCCACCTGCTGGTAAGAGTGTTCTAAGAGAGCATTTGGTTAACGATGGCAGGCTGCTGCTTTCAACAGCATGCAACTGAAGACTTCAGTCAAAGCTAAAAATAGACCACCACACTTTCAGGAAAACACATTCGATTTTCACAACAGACATTTTTAGGAAACAAGTGCATATGGCTCAGCCAATTTAGTACATGGCGAATTGCAATGCCATAGTCATGTATTTCCGTCGACGTTATGAGGTGGTTTTGATATGTTTGATCCCTTTATTTTTTGAAACGTGCTAAGAATTCTGCGAACAATTGTTGCCAGCACTTCATTAAGCATATTTCAAATTATTCTGTGCTAGTTTTTTTTACTACATTTATTAATTTTATGAAAAAATTCTCCTTGAGAACTGAGCCCCATAAAATATCACGAAATTATTCCCAGAGAAAGCAAGTTCTATGAGAACGCTCTGCCCAACATTATTCATTTGTTTCTTTGGGTGGAAGTGTGAAGCGGAGAATGAAGTAGCATAATTGTAGTGGATTTGTGAGCAACCTACAGACAGTCAGGATTTTAAGCTTCTAGTTATTAACAACTTTCATCTCGTTCTCGTAGTTTATCCACTTCGGAGATTTCATGCCACCGTATCACTTGCCTTAATTGCACCATTACTAGCTTGCACATTAACTAAGCCATCTTTATAGTCACTATATTTAATAATAACAACAACACAGAATTATTATTCTCTATTTAGGTGTTGGTTTTCAAGGATTTGATTTGACTGGTGACAGGATTTCATCATGAGATGACGTCGGTTCCCAACCGATAGCTGCCACCTTGACGTGGTGGTTGGGCTTGCATATCGCAATGACCCAACGAGCTACACTGGCTGGAACTTATGTTCCTGTAGGTCCTACCATGCCAGAAAGGTTGTTTGGATAGCGGTTAGACAAAAAGCAGCTACCCAATCCAATACTATGACTCAAACAAACTCACAAAATATGATGCCGGATCGGTCGGATTAACAACGACCGCGCTTCCTGGTGCCGTGTCACTGGGCAGAAGTGATAAATATGCTACTGAGACACACCGAACAAGAAAGAACAACCAAAAACAGGCCGCGTGTGACCGGCCTCAAGCAGTTGTCCCCTGGGCTCTGCGGTCACGCAACACTAACCTTTTCTCTCTCCCCTTCTCAGGCGTGAGGCTAGCAACCCCACCTTGTAAACAAAGCTGCTACAGAAACTTCTGCAAGATGAATCTCCTTGCGACAAAAGAAAAGTCTGTGTGGGGACATGGAATGTGGGCACCATGTACGAG